AGTTTAATTGAAAAGTATATATATATATATATATATATATATACACACACCTAAAAGTAAAATTGTTATGTTGGAAACCCTGGGTCAAAAATAACAGTTATTTTCAAAGTGCAGGTTTAGCATTTCATTCCATCACAGAGCACAACATTGCTTCATGGAGGGAGTTTGGATGCGCACAGCAGCTCCAAGGCTTAATTGTGAACAGCCCCACCCCCAGACAAGGTTGGAATTTAAATGCATTTATGCAGAGCGATACACTACTCAGGAAAATGCACCCTAAGGGCTAATGTATACAAGCTTTTGATTGCACCTTCTTCCACATAATGGCTATTGTGAAAAACAAATGAAGCCTAGAAGCAATTCCCTGAGAGGCAAAACAAAGCAACTAAAATGTGCATCAAATCATCTTAAAGTGACACTAAACTCAGGAATTAAACTTTAAAAATACATTCAAGTACCTTAACTACGGTATTAACAAAAATGTATCTTATTTGTGTATCACTCGGCTGTAGATCCTCAAATCATCTCTGAATTGGTGCTGACACTGTTCATCCTTCTGGAGGGGGGCTACTTTTGCTCCCCATGGTCCCTGTGTGCGTTGTAAAGTAGTCACCACTCCAAGCTTCGCTCCCATGATGGACTACAATCTCATGTTTAGTTTACTCATTTGTATTGAGATTGTAGTCCATCCTGGGAGCGAGCTTGGAGCGGTGACTACTTTACAACACACACAGGGACCAATGGGAACAAAAGCCGAGTGATACACAAATAAGATACATTTTTGTTAATAGTTGGGGTACTTGAATACATTTTTCAGGTTTAACTCCTGAGTATAGTGTCACTTTAAGTATACATTTTTGAAAGGCTGCAGTAGTGCTTCTAAAAAAGGATGAGGATACCAAGCCCAGAGTTGGTTGTTAATGATGTATGCTTAACCTTGTCTGGCAATCCAGACCTCGTCTATGCTAGTAAACCAAATTGAGGTACTATTCTGCACATTTTTGGGATAAATGCTTTTGTGGGTAAGTTAGGGAAATAATATATGTTTATGATTGTTTTTTGGGTAAGGGAAGGCCTTTCTCAACCTTTTTAACATGGAAGAACCTTTGAAATATCTCTCAGGTCTCAGGGTGTCCATGCCAATTATTAAGCTATCTACAGCTCACTGTATGTTGAGTGGTGGTTAGCAGGAAGAACGCTTCTTACATTGGTGGTCATTGGGATGAATGCCCCTCATACAGGTAGCCAAGAAGATAATTTGTGTCAGTGGTTACATAACTGAGAGGAGGAAATTGCTTATTGCTCATGGAACCCTTAGCAATTTCTTGAGGATCCCTAGGGTTCAGAACCCTGGTTGAGAAAGGCTGGGTTTGGGTCTCTTTTGACACACATATTTTGTTGATTTTAAAAAGTTAGAAGAATTGTCCCGTGTTCAGCGCTCTTCGAGGGGCCGTGGGGTGGGGGGGGGGGGGGGGGGAGGGTGTCCGACGTGTATGCTAGCTTCCGTCTCCAATTTTTGTATTCAGGTTGATTATAGCAATGCATAATGGGATAAATGGCGGACTTGTCTGGAGTTGGTTGTATATGATTTAGCTCTATCTAGTATGCTTGTGGTGGTGAGGTCCTGGTTTTTTTGCTCCTCAGTGAGCGTGTTGCATTTCTGCGTGAAATGTGTGAAACTAATGTGGGAAATATAAAACATGTAACAGTCATATGTTATGTATTATTATTATGATGTTATAATGCGTACAACATGGGAGTCAGTTGTGGCTAATCGCATTCTATATGCATTCCTTCTCCGACACGACAACAAGAGGAGACAAAGTGCAGAAAGAATTGGAATTGTTTCCTAGAAACAAAAAAAAAATGCCAGGAATGCCAATACATCCTGCTATTTGTCAGGAATAGGATGAATTACTGAAGAAGGATCCAATTAAATGCTGCTTTTCTTCCCCCGGTGCAATGCTAAAACACAGACATTCCCAGCATTCCTTCACACAATGTTAAACCTGTGATACCTTCCTTAAAAGGCTTTTCGAAACAGCAGGAAGTTAGTCAATGGCTGCTTCTTGTTATTTTTAGACGGTAATGTATCTTTAAGCTGTTTATGCCCATTTGCACTCGAGCCGTTTGATATGTGTAAAAAAAAAAGGGTAAATCTTGGCTCTGGCTTGGCTAAGTCGTTCCCACCATTTATCACTGGCAGAAAAAAGTGCACGGTCGTTAAGGAGTTGGCGGGGTGTGCAGCTCAAGGCCTATTAGCATTCTTGTCTCTTGCAAGGGACAGTCCTGCTTAGACGATGGCATGCTGGGAACTGTTGCCACAAACTAAGATTCTCAGGAGTGAAGTTTCAGTATTGTTCCAAACGCTGGAGGTGAACATTTAACTTTCGTTGTGGCGAAATGTTATCTCTGGTACATGGTACTGTACACTCCCATCCCTTTTAGATTGTAAGCCCTCACGAGCAGGGCCCTCCTTACCATCTTGTCTTGAATTGTATTGCGATTGTAATGTCTTTCTTATATTGTAAAGCGCTGCGCAAACTGTTGGCTCTATATAAATCCTGTATAATAATAATACAGGGTTTCCAACCTGAAAAAAGAAATTTCAGGGAGGTGCCCTTCTCATTTCAGGGAGGTGCCCTCTGCTCCCCCTCGCCCCCCCATGAAATGATGGCAGATAACACGGGAAGCAATAGCTTCTTTGCTTCCCGTGTTATCTCCTCTGCTGATTGACAGCAGCAGTGGGCGGGTGCAATAGCTAGTCTGCTATTGGTTATTGCAAAGTGAAATAGCCAATAGCAATCTAGCTATTCATTCCTATGCTTTTTTTTGTCTCAGACTGATGGTGGATGGCGGCCCCGATGTCAGGAAAAAAACAGATGGCAGGGAAAGGTTTATTCTGCTGGATAAAGCAGAGTAAACCTTTCCGGGAGAAAATGTTTCTCTCCCGGGCGGCTGGGAGCCGCTATCTAATAGCGGAAGACTCCCAGAACATCCAGGAGAGTTGAGATGTCTGATAATAATGATAGTGGTACAGAAAGAGATGGAGGAAAATTGGTCTTGATGTATGTCACTTGTGCCTGTCTTTGGAATGAGGTAGAAGATGCCTGTAGGAAATGTGTATTTTGCAACAGGCAACTGCTACAGTACTCCCAATAGGGAAGTAGTAATGAGTAGTGATATTCCAGTCTGGTTTATGATCTGTTCTGTGTGTACAAACCCCATTACTATCTTTGGCTCCTACCACATAAATCATATTATAGCATAGAGCAGGGGTGGGCAACTCCGGCCCTCCAGCTGTTGTGGAACTACAAATCCCATGGGGCATTGCAAGACTGAAAGTTACAGGCATGACTCCCAGAGGCAGAGGCATGTTGGGATTTGTAGGTAAAGCACAGCTGGAGGGCCGGCGTTGCACACCCCAGGCTTAGATCCTAGGGAGAGATCGGCAATGTCTTAAACTAGATTCATGGCTATTGAACTGATGATTCTACTTAAAGGGTATCTATGGTCAAAAATGAAAAATAAATCTGTATTTCTGCATTGAATTTCTATCAGTTCTATCCCAATCCTAATAACCATATGAATTTAGAAGTTTGTAACATTACTAACTGGAGATGCCCATAGGAAGTGCGTTCTTAAAGTGACACTAAATTTAGGAGTTAAACCTTAAAAATGCATTCATTACCTTAAAGGAGAACTATGGGGTTAAGGCTTTTCCCCGTAGTTCTCCCTAGGGTAACGGGAGGACACAAACTAGCGTCCTCCCGTCACCCTAAGCTCAGTATACCGCGAGCTACTGCTCGCGGTATACGGAGACGCTGCAGCTGAAGCGGATCCCGACAATTATGTCTGGATCGGCCCAGCTGCGTGAGTGACAGCTGGCTCTGCCTATCTAGAGGCAGAGCCCGCTGTACCCGCCCCCTCCCCCGTCCGCTCAGAAGCCCACTATGGCAGCCACATACACTGCAATGGTTTCATTTTTTTAACTTACCTTTACGTTCAGGTTTTCATCAAGAAGAATATTCTCCAACTTTATATCCCTGTGAACGATTCCATTCTGAAAATAATAGGAAGGTGGATTGTCAGTTCATAATTCATATCACGCAAAATAAATCCCTTTTTATACAATCACATGAAAAAAGAAGTTGGTCTTATAGGGACCAGTGCCAGGGACACACTGCTGTGCCAGTGCAGAAAAGTGTTGTGAGGACTCTCGACCTGAACACCTTCTAAACCGGGGGTAGGCAACCTCCGCACTCCAGCTGTGCTGAAACTAGAAATCCCAACATGCCTTTAGAGTCCCGTATGTACTGTGTGCGGGTATCAGGCCAGCTGAAACCCGGACACAACATGTCACGATGTCAGGTGGATGGGGGCAACCACGGAGTCCTCATTTTCTAACTTGAGTGCATAGAGGAGGAAAGGGACATGGAGGAACGCTGGAACTCAGGGAGCAAGGAGGTGCCTGAAACACAGGGTGCAGATAAGTCTAGAAGAGCAGAGGGATTCTGCTTCAGGCAGATATGTTGCTTGCTATCTCTCCTCACTCTAATCTCTCCTCGCTCATACTACTGGCTGTCTCTCTTAGCTGTCTGTTATTTCTCTGTGTCCTGGCTGTCTCTGCTCACTCCCTGTCCTGGCTGTCTCTGCTCACTCCCTGTCCTGGCTGTTTCTCCTCGCTCTCTCTCACTCTCTCTCCTGGCTGTTTATCCTCCCTCTCTCTCTTCTGGCTGTCTCTCCTCACTCTCTCTCTCTCCTGGCTGTCTCTCCTCGCTCATACTACTGGCTGCCTATCTTAGCTGTCTGTTATTCCTCTGTGTCCTGGCTGTCTCTCCTCGCTCTCTCTCTCTCCTGGCTGTCTCTGCTCACTCCCTGTCCTGGCTGTCTCTGCTCACTCTGGCCTGGCTGTTTCTCCTCACTGTCCCCTATAAATTTTCCCCCCAAAAAATTGCTGCGTGGCATTGGACTGTTCGAATTTCGCTTGAAGAAAAGGTGGCAACCCTAATACAAAACTTAGTGTCATTCTGTGCTTCGTTTCTCTTGCGGTTACTAATAGACTGTAGACTAAACCTAAGTTTGCTCAATGATTTATTGTCGGCGTTGGAGGTTTACTTTTTATTATTTCCAGTGGCCTCTGCCAGCAATAACAAAGTATTGATTGAAAGGAGAGGAAGCCAAACTATAGAAGTATCTCCGCAAGAGATAAACATACGGGCCGAACAGCAGAGGTTACCCAGGAAACTAACACAATGTTTCCCCAGACAGCAACACGTATCGCTGGCAGGCTAGAGGCCGCCTGTAGAATATCAGTATCAATATGGAACAAATTAAGTAAAAAAAAAAAAAGCTAATAATGGGCAATCTGTTATTGTCAGACAAGAAACACAAACGCGGGAGAGAGTGTGGAGAGAAAGCTGCGGGGAATATTTATATGAGGTGCCGGGACTTAAAGCTTATCTCCACGCATACTGATAATTACACAGATGAAATACATAAAAGCTATTTTAGCTGCAAAATAATTTGCATTCCTGTTCATCCAGTCCTGAGATTTATATAGATCTGCTACGCAGCAGAACCCTGCCTGGCAAGGAAGGGGACCTAATTTTCCTCTGGTGCAGTGTAGTGACACTTGCAGGTCTTATCCCTGACCCAGCCAGTGACTGGAGAGTCAAAGGAGAAGCAGAAGAATGATGGACTCATCTCTCTGTCACTCTGCCCTTTTCCCCATAGCAGCTTTTTTCTTGTTAGAACATGAGCACTGCAACACAGCTGACTGGAACTTTGTGCTGCTTTTCCCTCTTCTAGTTTGAGCTCAGCTGTACAGGGGATTGCAGGAGGCTCATAAGTCAAATTCAGTACACTGCTTGCATTAAAAAAATACATCTGATGATGTAATAAAGCCCACCTCCAGGATAATTTCCACTCCCCTCCCACCCCTTCTAACTGAGCTTTTTACTTACCTAAAGCCACAGTCGCAGAATGCTCAGGACCCGAGTCCCCTCTCTTCCTTGTTCAAGGTCCTTCTTTAGGTGTCCACCTCACTGTTTGCATGAAGTAGACACTTCCTATTGGCTGTCCAGCGGCAGAGTCCTCCCAGGATCCCACAGAGGAGGGTCAGTAGGGAACCGGCAGTCTCTGGCGCATCTGCACTACTGGATTAGCAGTCAAGCACACAAGGAAATGGCACCAGTGAGGGACCCTGATGGGGAATTTAGGTGAGTTATACTTGCTTTAAAAAAGGTAAGAAAAAAAAAAAAAACTTACATGGGTGGTGTAGGGGGTGATATCAAAATCACCCCAGAATGGGGCTTTAATAAAAACAGCTGCAATAATTTGGGTCTTTTACATTTGCCTGGAGTTAGGCTTTAACATCATTTTGGGCTAAAGTCATTTGCAGGGAGTTGGAAATGTTTGGCTGCAGGTAAGCAGGATCAAGAGTGTCAATGATTCATAGGAATCGATATTAAATGTGAAAATACGGGCCATTTTCTTTAAGAATTGTAGTGCCACCATGCCACCTAATCCTAATCTATATGGGAGAAACTCTAGCTAAAATAAAAATGGCAGACAGTGCCAAATTCCAGGTCCCCATCTGCTCCCTGTGGTTCCTCAATCCACCCCTACATCACTACAGGACACAGTAGTGATGTAGGCAGGGGGAACCAAAGCATGGCAGGGGACTATAAATCCCACACTCCCAGAAGTGTGGCATTCAGAAGATTCAAGCATTGGTTCCTTTGCAACAGGCGGCACAGACAACAGGAGAGGTGCTTCTTGTGGTGCCTCATGGGGAGAGGAAAACACTAACAGTAGTAATAGCCTCACAGATGTTCTAAACCCAACCCATTGGAGACATTTCCCATCACTTCCTATTTCAACAAGAAGTGAGAGTAATTTACCCTTCAATGGCAAAAACCTGACAGAAGGTCAAACTTCTCTTCTATCTGCCCAAGCTGGGCTTCAAACCAAGCATGTATTCCACCTCTACTATCAAGATGATAACTACCATCTGTCTCTACCAAGTCTGTGAGGTCCAACCATTTACACATTATTTTTATGATCCACTTATGATCATTTGAAAGAATAGTAAATGGAAACCAGCCCTAAACACCGCTCCAATTTCTTTGGAATTTACTAGAAGCTTTGAAATAGTAAAACTTAGAGGAGATAAACTTTGGAGTTGGTTGGAGCGTTTTACGTTCTGTCTGACATGGAAAGTTCAGAAGAACAATAGAAGGCCTATTACACGCAGCACGTAGGATTAAGAGAATCTCTTTAGGTTAGAATTTTTGTTCATAAAGCCAGTTTGTGGGATACAATGATTTATATGTCAGTCAGGAATGAAGACTTTATTACAGATCACAGCTGAAAACAGAGTTGGGATATGATGGCAGAGCAAGACAAGCAAAAGAACCGAAATTTCTGGGTGAAGACATCCCTTCATACTGATGAATCTAGAACTCCAGCCAAAATATTTGGAATACATTGAATACATTCAAGTCTATGAGGACTTTATGCAATATTATGGAAAATAAGAATTGAGACTCTTGTGCCAGCAGGACTGAAAAGCCATGGTTTTGGATGCAAAGCCAAGTACGCGGCCAGCAAAAATCAAAGCTCTAATGTCACATCTCTAATGTCTGAAAGAGAAATATGTAATCATAAGGTATTTCAACCCCACTTGAATTGAACTCCCTTATAAAACTTACATGTTTAGCCCATTAAGGTCCAACCGATGGTTTAACCCATGGTCCAACCCATCAAGATGTATCTAAAGCCAAAACGTCTTTTCATATTGAATATAATAAGGTATAGTTAATACTAGGGATGCACCGATACCGGTTGTTCGGTATCGAGTACCAATATTTTTTTCCCGATACCCAATACCGATACCGGAAGTCTCATTAAGGAAAGCCAGGCGGCGTGTAATGACTCACCACCTGGCTTCCTGATTAGCCAGGAAGCCGGGCAGCGTGTAAAGATTTGCCACCCGGCTTCCCGATTAGCAGGGAAGCCGTCTCCATGCTCCCTCGTCACCAGGTGATGAGGAAGTATGGAGCCGGCTTTCTGGCCAATCAGGAAACCGGGGGGTGGGTCATTACCTGCCTCCCGGCTTCCTGATTGGCCCGGAAAGCTAGCTCCATGCTCCCTGGTGATGAGGGAGCTTGTAGCCGGCTTCCCGGCCAATTAGATAGCTGGGCCAGCTTCTCGACCAATCAGGAAGCCAGGCGGCGAGTCATTACACATCACCCGGCTTCCTGATTAGCCGGAAAGTCGGCTCCATGTTCCTTCGTCAGCAAGTGACAAGGGAGCATAGAGCCAGCTTCCCGGCCAATCAGGAAGCCAGGCATCGTGTAATGACTCGCTGCCCGGCTTCCTGATACCAGAAGTTTCGGGTATCGGGCTAGGCATCGGAGCATTTGGGCAAGTACGAGTACTATCGGTATCGGTGCATTCCTAGTTAATACCCCTTTTAGTTTTTTCGCCATCTCTGGGGAGATTTCTCTTCACTCCCTGTCGACACATTACAATTCTTGCCAAAGTGAGGGAAATTCTTTTTTGTGGCCCATTTTTCTGCACTTGATCATTGCCAGTCACTGCAAGGGCACATAATAAAAAAAAAGTTTCCTGCGTGTCCTGTTCACATTGCAATGCTGCCTCCAGGTGAGTTGCAGTGCACCACACAAAATGCTGACACGCTGCATTTTTTAGCAAAGCACCAAAGCTCACCTGAAGCCACCGTCCACTGCATAGCAATGAATGAAATGTCATTTTTCACTGCTTGTTAGAATTTCAATTCAAAAGGAGGCTTTTCACCAGATCAAATATAGGTCCCTTTGGCTACAGTTGCCTTTTAGTCCATTCATGTGCCTATTACACTCTTCTAAGCCCTTATGAAGGGGAAGGTTCATTGCCCCTGAAACATGTTGAATGACACTGAAGGCATTGAAGGCACTTTGGACTTGAGAGAGGCCTGTGTGTGTTTGAAAGCTGCCTTACCAGAGTCGGAGACCTCATTTGAAGATTTCCTTGCCTCTGAACCATTATAATAAGCAT